AAAAAGTCCGCAGAAAATGTCATCTGAGACAACTGTAGCTTCATCATAAACATGTAAAGTATCCAGCACAAAATATGAAAGTGTAACAAAATACCAAAGATAACTAAAAAGCAAGGGAAATAGAAGCAGTTTCTTAGCAGTAGGCAAAAAGAAACATCGCCAGCAAAAATTCCCTGTAACAAAAAATGCTGGTCTGGTTTGACTATAGTTACAGCACTATGCACATTGAAGGCCATTAGCCTTAATAGTCAGATAATAACTGAAGATTCAAGAATAGGGAGTCACTCACTTTTGCGCATCTGGTTTACAAATTTTTCTATCAAAATAGTTGTTCCCAAATTAAAGTATCAAACCCAAATTGTCTAACTAGTAAAAAATGCATTAAATAAATCTTACATTTGGAGAATCTGAAAGATGAAAAAAATCTTAGAGAGTATTTAGTCCAACTCTTGCATTTTATAACTATGGAGTCAGGAATCAAGAAGATTTCATGATTTGTAGAAAGCCCAGCATTAATTGGAAACAAAAACGAGAATCATTTTCATTACCTCATGCTTCCCAAAATACATGAACTATTATTCTGGGGAATGGGTTATGTAAAACAGTAGATACAGAGTTTGCAAAACTATAAACATATCTAAGTTTTAAAAATATATTACTTATGAGGGCATACCTAATGCAACAAGGGTTCATGCTTGATTTGCTCTACATTTCACTTTCAATTTAAACATCAAAACAGAAGCCAACTTGTTAATGGTAGGCAGGACTAATTTTTTAGAACTATATATACTATCTATTTTATAACTATGTATAACTATCTATAGTTATTTTATAACTATACATACTATCTATATATATATAACTGTATATACTATCTATATACTACAAAGAGAAGTTTTTGAGGTGATTTTATTTATTTATTTAATTTGTTTTTAGCGTATAATGCATTATTTGTTTCAGGGATGTAGGTCTGTGATTCATCTGTCCTATACAACACACAACACTCACCACAACACATAACTTCCCCAATGCCCATCACTCAGGCATCCCATTTCTTTAACCCCCTACTCCTCCAGAAACCCTCAGTTTGTTTCCTAAGATTGTGAATCTCTTATGGTTTGTCTCCCTCTCTGGTTTCATAATTTCATTTTTTCCTCTCTTCCTCTATGATCCTCTGCCCTGTTTCTTAAATTCTGCATATCAGTGAGGTCATATGACAATTATCTTTCTCTGATAGACTTATTTTGCTTAGCATAATACCTTCTAGTTCCATCCACATCACTGCAAATGGCAAGATTTCATTTTTGATGGCTGCATTAATATTCATATATATGAATATTAATATTATAATATTAATATTATATATATATATATATATATATACACATACACCACAACTTCTTTATTCATTCATCTGTCGATGAACATATTGGCTCTTTCCACAGTTTGGCTATTGTGGACATTGCTGCTATAAACATTGGGGTACAGATGACCCTTCAGATCACTACATTTGTATCTTTGGGGTAAACACCTTGCTTGCACTCAATCTCATCTGATCTTGGAAGCTAACCAGGGTGAGGCCTGGTTAGTACTTGAATGGGAGGCAATTAATTTTAAAACTATGTTAAACTGAACCATGTAAGCATCAAATAAAATTTAAGAAAGAAGGGAATTAGACAAAAAAATCAAGAAGACCAGACCAAGGAAAGCTGTGATTATTCTGTATAAAACTATTTATTAGGGGGCACCTGGGTGGCTCAGTCATTAAATATCTGCTTTTGGCTCAGGTCCCGATCACAGGGTCCTGGGAGCGAGCCCCCATTGGGCTCCCTGCTTCACGGGAAGCCTGCTTCTCCCTCTACCACTCTCTCTGCTTGTGTCCCCTCTCTCACTGTGTGTCTCTCTCTCTGTGTCAAATAAATAAATAAAAATCTTAAAAAAAAAAAAAAAAGAAACTATTAGACTTTCTAATAGCTGATTAAATGAATCAAATGGTTACTAGGAATAGAACTTTTCTCAAAACGTCTCTAGAGTGCCTTCCTACTCTGGAATATATGCGTGAAGTGATACAAGATAATACAAAAGGTAGATGAATGTAGTTGAATTAATACTCAGATACGTTGTAAGTTAAATACAAACATTTGATTCGATCCAGAAATTTTCCAGAAACCTACTACCTTTCTATATTACTTTTATTACATTTAATATATAAGTATTATATTTATATAAATTATTTTATAGCTATCAATATTTATTATATATTAATATTTATTAGATTGTAAATTTTTTATTGTGTATATTATATAATATATACAGTTGACCCTTGAACAACATGGGTTTGAACTTACACAGGCCACTTACATGTGGATTTTTTACCGTATAGTATTGTTAAGGTATTTTCTTGTCCTTAATATTTGATAAACCTTTTTCTCCAGCATACTTTACTGTAAGAATATAGTATATAACAGAACATACGAAAATGTGTCAATTGACTGTTTATGTTATCAGTAAGTCTTCCAGTCAACAGTAAGCTACTCATAGTTAAGTTTTTGATCATCAAATTTATATGAAGATTTTTGGCTGTGTCAGGGGGTGTGAGGGGGTCAGTGCCCCTAACCTCTGCATTGTTCAAGGTTCACCTGTATATATTTAATATATTTCTGGTTGTATTTGTAAAAAATATTAGCCTTGTTCCGAAAAGGGTTTAGGATGAGTCGTGAGGATACAAAAACTGTAAGAGAGCACAAACTTTAGTAGAAACCTCCAGCATAAGATTGTTTCTATGCAGAACATGAAAGGTCCTAGTAAAAAAATGAAGAAAAAAAGGAGGAAAGGAAAGGCAAGAAAAACAGAGGGAAGAAAGAAGGGGAAAAAAAAGGAGAGAGAAAAATGTATATGAAAAACATACTATTTCCAATCTGGGATTGACTACAAACCTAACCCTGGGTCTGTCTTCAACATAAACTTCTATTTGCCAACAAAGAAACAGCCACGGTTAATGTAAAAACAATTAATAGATTTTCCAGCAAAGGTAAGCATTGACAGTCCAGATTAGCTCCTACAACAACATGTAAACCAAGACTCCCCAGAGCCTGTGGATGGGAAATATATTAAATCAACTCAGTGACCACTCAACACCATGACACAAACGGTCTGTTCAGGAGGTCATTTCCAAAATGTACCCCATACATCTTCATGCACAAGAGATGATAATTTATCACCTAGACATAGGGATCTACTGTAAACTAATCCAAACTGCTGATGATACACTAAATCAGTTTGAGTGATGAGTATAAATAAAGCTGCAAGCAAAGTACTGAAGGATACAGATCTTTCTGATCAATGAGATGTCACAAGGCAAATGAAATGCAATGTTGACAAACATAGAGTCCCCTCAGTTGAAAATTAACCACCTCATGTATCAGAGCATAAAGGCACACATTAATAAAAGTTTACTATAATGGGAGTCCAAGGCTATATTCTTTTTCAGATAAAACTGAAGAGACTAAGTCAGTAGTACAGGGTGTACTAAAAATTGATATATTTTTGCATACCACCAAAAAAGTGACAGGATAAAGAAAAACTTTGCAAAGCGGTAATCCTTCCCAAATAATATAACTAGAGTTATTCAATCTGCTGAGCAAATCCAGATGAGGAAAAACAATAAAAATTTTAGACAGAAAGTGATTTCACATCAACTTGCTACCAGGAAATCAAATTCAATTTGTGTTGCCCTTATGAAAGCTTAGATATTTTCTGAAACTGTCACACTACAATTTCAATGGGGGAAAAACAAAGGATTGGGGATAGGAAGGACATTCCTCCAGACCATTGATATTCATGGAGGGCACTCCTTGAGAAAAAAGATTTTCCCAACTATGTGATCAGAATAGAGACTTCAGCATCCAGCAAACAGGTTCAATAGAATTCAGCTATACTGAAGGTGTCCCGAATGGAAAGAGCTGATTACAGTAAATTTCAACCCCTGCTGGAACAAATCTGTAAGAATATTTTCTAAGGGAAATTAGTCTCCATCAAATTTATATATTTTTTCTTCATTCTGTTAAGTATATGTAACTTTGTCATAACATATTCAACTCTTGCTTTGTATTTTATCTTTTAGTTTATTTTAGGTAAAGACAGAATTATACTACTAAGATATGACCTAATCCCATACGTAGTTTATTTAAATTTCAAAATGAAAAGCTTACTAAGAACAGATAAGATTGATTGCTCTCTCTGTCTTAGCATAATTGTATTTCAGGTGAACATCAATTTACTTTAAAGGACACTTCTAAGTAGCAGAATGCATCATAAATAATTCATCAATCACAGCTGCCAGAAACATGATTTACTTCAACAGATTCAATGGAATAAAAGTTCTATTTTTCTATATTTGTGTATGCTTTAAAGTGTTTAAGGACCCTCTTTTTTAAAGAATCACTCTTAGATTACATACTTCATACTTAAAATGCAGTCTGATAACACTGGGGGTTTTTTTTGTTTATTTTAAAACATATTTCCAATTTTAAAAACATTTAAATATCTTCAGAACAAATAACAATTTACGTATATCAACAGTAAAACAACAGCAACATCAAAGAACAAGTCTGGAAAACCGGCATTAAGATTTTAAGTTTAACATAATTTATTTTCACTTTATATTAACTTTTATTCCGAAGGAAAAGTGAAGTAGGCTTTTAGAACATCTTATACTGATTATTTAGAATCTCACATATTTGAAAAATACTTCAATTTAAAAATGCATATTGAACAGATCTAAATTGCATGACTATTCAAGTTCTACCAGTTGATACAGTGAGAATACTATCTACCACTTTCATTTGTCATACGGAAAGACACTGCTTACCTTATTCATCTTAAAGTTTTCCATCAAAGGCAGCAATTTTGTATTGGCAATTTCTCAAGCTGTGAAATATCTTTAAAATAAATATATTGACAAGGAAAATGTAAGAAAAAGTAGAAAGTGTTTTACTCACTTGTAAACCCTTTTGAAATACTGAATGGCCCATAAAATTAGCCAGCATTCTAATTAGAGCAGCACCCTGTAGGGAAAAGTATTTAAAAAGAAAAGAAAGAAAGAAAGAGAAAAAAATTAATCAAATAACATGACTCAATAATTATCCTATATCCATTAAAAAAATCTGCTTCCATCATGCTATTGTATTCTCAGAAAAGAAACAAGAGAATCATGAATACAAGATCCCACCTTGCAGATAATTGGATATTTGTTTTGTGGATCTAAAAGTTCCATGGATATAAAACCAGTGACTTCTGGACAGTCTCCTGGACAGAGTGAGTATCTCAAGGCAATAATAAGCTGTAATTCAGGAGTAATAAAATTTTTATTGAACACCACCTATGATGGAGTTAATAAAACATGGTTCTTGTTCCTACAAGCTCATAATCTAGTAAGAGAGGGATACCCCTGTTAATAAATAATCATATTAAAATAGAGCTTTAGAGTAACACAGGTACTTACTCTACCTCTGGCTCCACTAAAAGTTGAGCTATAAAAGTGGAAAGTAGAGAATACCATGTATTGAGACTGCTTCGGTTCAAATCCTGGCTCTGACACTTATCTTGCCATACGTACTCAGGAAAATTATTTAACCTCTCTATTCCTCACTTGTGTCACCTTATAAAGTATAGCCAATACTAGGCTTTATGTCATGTAATTGTTCTGAAGCTTACATGAATTACTAGATGTAAGGCAAACTGGGTCTGAAAAACAGTAACCGTGATATGAGTGTTAGTGATCAGTATTATATCAGGCTAATTGTTTTTATTTCCTGTCTACTTTGTTTAGAGGCTGGATGTAGCCCCCTATGTGCAGGAAAAACATGTGATCAATATAAATATTTAAAATAATAGAAGAAAACACTAGTTTAAGAGTTCACCTCACCTATCACAATTATTATAATACAGTGGAACAATATCAGTGAGAAAAGATAGACATGTAATCAATATGAAACATTCCAAATGTAATTAAGCCTGGATAATCGCAAATTTGTATGTGAAATATACAGAAGATGTCAAGAAGATATTTTAGTCTGCACTAAGTTGTTTGAAGTAGAAAGCAATGGGTTATAAGCCACAAAAATATAAATATAAATGATAGCCTGGCTTTCGTGGGGAAAAAAGTCCCTTGATGACTACATACCCCACTTCATGCTCATTACAAATTCACACCCTCCAACGACTCATTTCTTACTTGTCGTTTGTTTTTTATAAGAGAATCATAAGAACTACACGTGGATTCATCTTGCCGGAACTGAACTGTGGCAGCCAGTTCAGTCACAAAAATGAATTTCTATTGTTTGTTAAAAATTGTTTCCTATAACTCTGGAATTTTAATGCAATCCAGTACTCAGGCTCCATGAATTGCCATTAAAGAAATATCTCAAAAAATTTCAATCATCACCAAAAATGGTCTCCAAATTGGTATTTTATTCACAGCTCAACAAATGATAAGCTGGACAAGCCATAGAGTTTTATGCCTCTTCTGATATATTTTCCTCCCACACCTTCTACTTTTTGCTCTTTCTTTCGCTTCTTCCTCTTTATCTTCTGGACACTTGTGTAAGTCCATAAAATATAAACATTTATGATTCAATCAAAGGACCAGGTTAGAATTCCCTCTAGAACTTATCATCTCTGCTCCTTGAATTTCCTTGACAAGCTCTCCTCCTATACATTTCCCAGTCTAATCTACCCACCCAGAGGGTAGAAACTGTCAGTTCTGTAGCGAAACTAACCCTTGCCACTTGGGAAGTGAAACTTAGAATCTCAAGCAGTCAACTCAAACTTCCCTTCAGAACAGAATAGCTATCTTCAGATGATTTAAGTGTTTCCCTCCAGGTAATGATGACTTGGACTCTTGTCAGGCTATAAAAACTATCAATTTAGCATGGTCTAATGGCACAAGAGCCCTTTCTAATCATAAAGAATGTACCCCTTTTCCTGTCTGGGTTGAGCGTTAACAGGAAATAAAACGTAGAAATATAATCAATATTTAAAAGTTATATAATACCACTGGACTTCTTTTATTATTATACCGTGTAATTTAGTTAACTTTTAAGAAAATATGTCTGTGTTGCCCACTTGAATATTTAAAATTCCCCGGAGTAGCATGCACTCTTCTATATTTAACTAGCCTTTTCTTTCCACAGCTAAATTTTGAAAATCCTTATATCATAGAACTGCATAGACAGATGGGCTCTCCAACTGTTATCATTCAGACAACATATACTGAGCACCTACTAGGTATGGATTATAACAAAGATCACACATCTTAACATAGGCATAACTCACCATAAACTTTTTTTTTTTTAAAGAAAACATTAAATCTCCTTTCAGCATGTCTTTAAAACAGATGTAGTGAAAAGAAGGGCCATCTGTACCCCAATGTTTATAGCAGCAATGGCCACGGTCGCCAAACTGTGGAAAGAACCAAGATGCCCTTCAACGGACGAATGGATAAGGAAGATGCGGTCCATATACACTATGGAGTATTAGGCCTCCATCAGAAAGGATGAATACCCAACTTTTGTACCAACATAGACGGGACTGGAAGAGATTATGCTGAGTGAAATAAGTCAAGCAGAAAGAGTCAATTATCATATGGTTTCACTTATTTTTGGAGCCTAACACATAGCATGGAGGACAAGGGGAGTTAGAGAGAAGAAGGGAGTTGGGGGAAATTGGAAGGGGAGGTGAACCATGAGAGACTATGGACTCTGAAAAGCAATCTGAGGGGTTTGAAGCAGCGGGGGGTGGGAGGTTGGGGGAACCAGGTGGTGGGTATTGGAGAGGGCACGGATTGCATGGAGCACTGGGTGTGGTGCAAAAACAAGGAATACTGTTATGCTGAAAAAAAAAATAAAATTATAAAAAAACAACAACACTGCTTTCACCAAGCGAATAGCATTTAAAATATTGTAAATTATATTCACCTGTTACTCAAAATTCTAGATGCATTCAAACAAAATGGATTTTAGATAGCCTAAATAGATTTATGGGAAATAAATATACTATTTCTATAAGATTTTAAGACTTGATCAAGAAAACCTAACATTGCATTTGCTATACTAAGCTTCAGGGTGATATAAGGATGGAAGCTACTGATTTCTTTTAAGGTTTCATAAAGAATATTCCAAAAAAGTACACTTATAAACCTATTCTTCATGTACTAATTCTTCTATATGGAATACTTTTTTTTCATATAAGTTCTCCGCTAAAATTTAAATTTCATATAAGTTCTCTGCTCAATTTCTTTCATTTTACACTGTAGTCATCTGTATGCATGTCAGTCTTATAGAGAGTAAACATCTCCAGAGAAAAGGACCCCTGGAGAGTAAACATCTCCAGGGGTCCTTTTGGTCCCCCTGCTCCCTGTGCCTGGCTCAGAGAAGGTGTTCTCTTAACATTATAACTGGATGACAGAGAAAGAGAAATTGGTAAAAGTACAGCAATTACTTTGTATTCTTGAAGACCAGTCAGCCAGGATACAGAGTTTATTGCTTTATCAGTGGACATTAGTGATAAGTAATCACTTTGAAAGAGAAGAAGATCTTCTCAACTAATTTATTCCTTTAACATATGCTTATGGAGTAAGACAGTGTACTCAGTATCCAGTAGAATAAAAATAGGAATGCCACAAGTCTTTGTCCTCAAGGACCTCAAAACCTCCTAAATGAAATAAGAAGATACAATATGTTATTCTATGAATGACAAAGAAATAAAATATTCTATTCTGTTTCAGAAGGGGGAAAAGTTCTTACATCTGAAGGGATGAAGGATAAGGGGATCTGAAAAAGTGATGCTTGGGTTGGACTTGAAGGAGGGATGGGATTCCAGTAGCACAGTTAAACAGAGCATATGGTATGGCAGCAATGGCCTTTGCATGGTCATGCAGGTGTGAAAGTGAGAGGTACTAGTAGGGAAGGGGATACTGAGGAACAAAGGGCATAAACCCAGGCAACAGAAGAATTGATGGAATATAAGTTTTCAGCAGTCATTAGAGAAGAGTGAATACCAAGGCTAGGGATTAGATCTTATTAAGAAGATGAGGCAGGATTTTGGAAAGGTGTTTTAAAAATACAGTGGACCCTTGGACAACACAGATTTGAACTTCACAGGTCCACTTACATGCCGATTTTTTTTCAATAAGTACAGTACACTACTATAAATGAGTTTTTTCCTCCCTTATTGATTTTAATAACACAGTATACTATCTTATCTTACCATAAGAAAACAGAATATAATATATATAGGATACAAAATATGTGCTAATTGACTATTTATGTTATGGGTAAGGTTTCCAGGTCAACAGTAGGCAATTAATCAATTAGTAGTTACATTTGGGGGCAATTAAAGTTATACATGGGTTTTTGCATGATGTCAGCACCCCTAATCCCTGCATTATTCAAGGGCAACTGACTTATCTATGATACTCCAAGGAGTAAAAGAACTAGAAGCAGAAGAGAATAATGGTAACAATGAGGATAAACCAGAGATAGGTTTAAGGAATAGAACAAAGACCATTTTAAACCTTAAAGCCTCAGTGACTGGAAGAAAATATTAGCAGATATGTAGAATTTAAAAGAAAGAGTTAGGGGAATATGGTAACTTCCACTTAAAACATGTAGATTTTGAGGAACAGGTAGGAACCAGAAGAATAGAAGGCATATGTGACCCCAGGAATGAAATTCATTGGCAGGTTATGACTGAAGACCTAAATTAGCATCTGTAGTGGGTGAGACCGCTTGGAGAAAAGCACTGAGGTTTTAGTGAAGGAGAGAGAAAACAGAAACTTAGACTCTCTCCAGAGTCTGTATGGTCAGCACTTGAGTGCCCATAATAGGTATCCAATAAATAACTCCTGAGAAAGTCAGTGAAGAAATGGAATTAAGAGCAAAGGATGACACATTGTGATAAAAAACAGAAGTAGCACTGGGTTTAAGTAGTGTCATGTTTTAAGACATGTTTTAAGAATAAGCGCTTCAGATTTCAAGAGAAAAAATAGCTGAGAAAGCCATAGTAG